CCTACAGAAATGGCTGATGGGCTAATGCCAAGGCCGATTCCGTCCATTCATCATTAAGTTGGTGTGGAAGGTTTTTGTTGAGATGACTCCGTTCAACCCAAGTAAAACCGAAATGGTTTTATTTACTAGGAGGTATAAGATCCCTAATGTGCCTCTCCCCTTTTTTCGGAGGTGCAGCCTCGCTTAGAGAAGTGAGCATCCACTCACTCCGACATTATTGCGGCAATACTAGCTCTGAGCGCGCGAATCATGCAATCAAAGCTAGTCAAGGAGTGTCTGTCCTCACTAGAAATAGCATCTGGCTACTTCAACATCAGGCTCGATTGAGTGCCTGATCACAGCGGAATCGCTGGAAACTGCAAAGCTGATGAGTTAACCAGGGGGGCTCCCTTGCCTCGCTCCATCGGAATGGGATTGAGTTGGATCTCCTTTAACGTCTTGCGTTTTAGCTTTGGATCAATGGACCTTGCGTGCACTCAGCAGACGCTGGTAGACGACCAACTCCTGCCTTGACCGCGAGATCCTTCTGGCCAAGAGTGGATCGCAGGAGGTCGAGGGAACTTCTCGCCTTGAGCAAAGTGCATCTCGCCGCTATGGTAGTAGTTCTCACTGGACACTGTCCAATGGGTACTCATGCGGTACGGCTTAGAGTACTACCCGATGCTAGTTGCCAAAAGTTGTATGGAGAAGGGCACCGGTTTTTTCCCCTCCACTGTGTGGCTTTCGCTATGCTGACACTGACATGAATACTTAACCGAAATGGATATTGGCCGTCTCAACAAGTTTGTTATATGCACAAAGCGTTTTGTCGACTTGTAAGGCTCTTTTGATCCAGCTTTTAGAAGTTTTTAGGTATTACAACGGACCGGCGTTTTAAGCTGTACAAGTGAGATCCTACGTGGGATCGACCTCCTAACCTAACCTATTAGTCGAAAAGAAGAACCAGTTGTGAGGAAAAGGCGAACGAAGATTGAAATAAGAAAACAAAAATTAGGAGTTTCTGTTGGAGTTTTTGTTGTTGTAATAATAGAGAACTTTCGCCAAATTTGAATTTGGAACCCAGAATAAAATTTCGAGTTCCATTTTGGCTATCTTGAACCTACTGTCTTGGGAACGGAGCCTAGTCATAAGTATTTGCCAGTTCGAAATCGTTTCCAGCTGAAATAGTTCTTCTAACGGCACTTATCGAAACCTAATTTCCTTGTACTAGCACTTGACTATTGTTAATGCGAAATTTTACTCATTTAGTAGTCCTGCATTATATTAAATTGCGTAAACAATAACAAATTATAGAGCGGATGTTCGTGAGTGCTTGGAATTTACCATGAATATATGGATGTATGTATTGTGGTATTCCTATCGTCCTCTCTGCACTTAACTGATTTCAAATTCTAATTTAAATCTCATTTAACGCAGTGGTTGGCAAATGCAACGGTGAGAAACATTTCTACCGTTTTAAGCTCCCATTAACCTTTGCACGCACTAATCTGCAATGTAAACCAACGCCAAGAGAAGCCGCACACACGCTGCAGCGGCAATGTTCATCAATTTCCTGAGATTTTTTCCAAGTTTTCTTCTCTTTACTTTTTCCCACTCTTCCGTAACCGCTAGTCTACTACATTTTCTTGCTTTTCGCGTATTTCCTTCCGTCCTACGCTGCAACGTACCAACCCCAACTGTGACACTGAGATCTAGTTCCGGACTTTTAATAAAAAAGCCATTTTCATGAAGTCAAATGAATAAAGTACGAAATGAAGACGGTCTACGAAAAACGCGTAGCGGATAAATTTTTTGCGAAAGTTAGGTAAAAGTAAAATGAATGGAGGGATATATACATATTTTCATATATAGTATATATCGTACACATGTATAACAATTGCGACTACTACTCAGCATTAGATCCCTATTGCTGTAAGAAGGAAGAAAGATTTTAAAAAAGGAAAAATGAAAACGCTAAAAAAATTAAATGAGAAGTTGAAGAAGTCTTCAAAATTAGAAGGCTGAATGAACAACGAATAATTTCTAGCACAGGTTTATTTTCGGTGAAAGGACTTTAATCAACAGAAAACATTTTCCCGCTTAAATGGAAAATACTAAATTTGTAATTTATAACGTTAATCGCGAAATTAGCTATTGAACCAGCCGATTCAAAACAAGTGATGTTTCAGCGAAAACGCTTCTTATCGCAAATTAGGTATACATATATTTACTCGGTCGAAAACTCTACGATGTTACCACTTCAAGGGAGCTTACAAGGTTGTTCAAACACAATCCGGATAAGTGCTCTTTGTATTTTTGTAACATTATTGGAGTATATAATATCACAATAAACCTTCACCTAGAAATATAATAACTTGATGAGGATCACTGTTGAACTTAGAAGCTTGCACTCTAACAATTGAGGTCCTAGATTTAGAACCTTAAACCTTTTTGGTACATGTACTTGCCGATTAATATGTGCACCTTGAAAGGACTAACACGAAGACGATTTTATATAGAAAAATTCGCATCCTACGAAATTTTAATTAAAGCTTTAAATATATACCAGTTCTAAAAAATAAATTTTTCTTACAATAAAAACTGACTTTTTTTTTGCACAAGGGTTTTATCAAAATATAATATTAACATTATGATTGGATGGAGATATTTCCTAAGCGACACAAATATTCAGGTCATTTAATCGGAATTGCCGAAATTAAGATTTCTAGTTTAATTAAAGCCTGGCTTTCATTTGAAAAACCTTAAGCCTAACTATAAAAATATGTGTGTGAAATATGGCTTCGTTCTTCAACATACGCTCCATCTTGAGTAAGATATTTATTAAAACGTCTTCCCACATTTCGAAACCAGATCGATAGTGTGAAGTTTCGAGACCTTCAAAATAGTCGTTTATTTTCATATTGACTTCATGATTTGAATAAAATCTCCAGGGACTTTTACGACGAAATTCAGCGAATCAGCACATAAAGTCATTTCTTTGCATCAACCCGAAATATTAAAACCTAAGTTCATTTTTGCCCATTGTAAAAATAGCGAGGGCAGCGTCTGGTGACCACTAACCTGTTGGCGATTGTACTCTAAGGCGATAATACAAAATTTTTGTTTCTGGCATGATTCCTCGGTTTTCAGCCCATGTAGTATAACGTAAATTTTAAATTGCCCTTATTGAGCGTTCGCCGAAAAATAACTTATAAATCATATTATCTTATTAATTTCGCTGTTCTTGCACTTAGGTTAGTCACGTTTTATGGATTAAAGAACATGTATTAAATTTTGCGTTAAAAATAGAATAAAGTGCTCCAAGACACTTGAAATGTTGACTGTGACATTTGTGTCGAAAAAATGTTAATAAGTGGTACTAGCGCTTTACAGAAGGCCGAGAACGTGCGACCACGTAAACAAGAAGAAAACATTGAAACAGTGAAAAAAATAGTTCTTGAAAATCGTTGTTGGCATATCAATCGGCTCATGCCATTAAATTTTCTCGAATATTTTGGCTAAATTTTGAACAAAAGCAATGTCGCGTTAGTATCCCTCAGGAGTTGCTGAATGACGTCAACAACAATCCTTGACCACTGTATTTATTAGATTTGGCTCCCTGCGACTTTTCCTATTCCCAAAACTGAAGAAATCAGTGAAGTGAGAGCGTTTTGCCGCAATTGATGAGGTCAAGTCAGAATCGAAGAAAAAGCTGATGGCCATACCAAAAAGCGCAGTGCTTCGAGGATTGGAAAAATCGTTGGCACAAGTGTATTATATCCGAGGGGGGTTACTTTGAAGAGGGCAAAATACATATTGATGAATAAATAAGTACTTTTCGAAAAAATTAAAAATTGACCTTTTACTTTGAACACACCTCGTATACGTTGATGTCACTTGCAAGGTAATTATGTAGAGAAAGATCAGCTAGAGTAAAGAATAATTTCATTATCATCAACGTCGCTTAAAATTTACACTTTTATTATTCTTTGCAAATCTAAAATTCTATTTTTCATATTATTTATATGTATTATAAAAAACGCAATTCCACATAATTTTATTATTTATCTAATAAATTAAGACTTTTTTGAGACTCTTTTTTATAATTCAGGCATTGTAGAAATCATTTATTCACAGTTGAAATAAAAGAAATATCTTTATTCTCAATGAACAAATAATCGATAGAGATATTGCATTATTAAATGTTAAATGAAAAAGGAGCAATTTTTTCACCAGATCACAAATTCCGTTCTAAGCTTTTGTGTTTGTATACCTTGAGCTCTTGGCATAACTAATTCCCCTATTATGGCTTTTAAACCAACTGCTTTTTAGCTGAAGTTCTGAAATTCAGTATTATCGATATCAACTAAACCGGTATTACGGGTTTCAACTCCGTGCAGGAGGGTTGACCAGAGTATTAAAACATTTCAATTGCTACCAAGCAGTGTTGATACTCTGGATAAAAAAACCCCCAAGCTGGACGGGGCAAGCTACAATTTGGAAACATTAAAAATTAAATAAAGGGACCGTGAAAAGTGTTTCGATCATAGGAATATACTTTTTGACTAAAATTAAAATTTTGAAACGTTTTGCTCCTCCTTAACAACAATCGATATCGTAGTTTACGCCAGCCCAAAGCTAAAATTATTTAAACTACATTTTTGATAGTTAACGTCCGAAGAACACGTAGAGTTGCGCATAATTTCCATGCAGGAAGCATGATTGTTCCTCGCATACGTTTATGCAAATGTTCCTTCATCTCATTTAGTAAAAAATAAAATGATTTTATTTAAACGAAAAGAACATATGAATCTGCAACATACATTATTTATAAGCCATTTAATTGATCACGAAAGCTTTTTGTTATGCGCAAAACATCAGTTTTGTCCCACTTTGTCCCACTTTTAATAATTATTAATTTTTTATCACCTTTTTATGAGCAATAACTGAATTGAATAGTTTTGATTTATTGTTTAAACATTTTCGACTTTTTAATTATCTGTCAAATCTTCATTTTATAGATTGGCAACACCGATGAAACTTCCGCTATTGAAGATCGTAATACCAAAAATTATTTGGGTTGATTCCACCCGGGCCCGGACTTCTCGAAAAGGCCTGTATTTCACAAAAAATTAAGTGAATAGTTAAAAATTAGAAGGCTTTCGATAGGTGATTAATTCGAACATTTATTTAAACGTTGTGATTACCGATAAAGGAACGTTTTCTCGCAAAAAAAAACGGTGAAGCTATTGCCTTTGGAAGATTGCCCTGGACAGTGCAACGATAATGGTAGTATGAGCGGTAAATATGAAGGAGCGCAAAATCATATCCATAATAAGTATGCAGTTATTTCGCCTTGTGGTGCCCACACCCTGAATTGGCTGGAGTGTTGTCCTCGAGCAATAACTTCTTTTGGTGTCGTTCAAAAATGTTTCCATATTTTCAGTACCAGCACACCAAGTTGAGAAATTATCAAATCACAAATACCCAATTCACTTCACTGTCTTTCTAATACAAGGTGGTCTGCCAAATTCGATGCCGTCATGCGATTTGCGAAAAGTCTTCCCGGATTAATAAACGTTTTGAAAGAAGTTAAAAAACTCAACCTTACGGCAGAAACTCGTTGGGACGTTGATGGAATTTCGAATGTATGAGCAAATTAAGGTTTGAAATATAGAAAGCCTTCTTGTGGATTTGCTATTTCTGCGCCAACAGTGATATGAAAGGAAACAAATTTAACGCAGCTGCAAAAAAATTTTACAAAAAAGTATTCCATTGATTAGATACATCATAAGTTGTCCAATGAAGCTATTCACTCAGACACGTTTACGTCTTACTCCATACAACATTCAAAAATTACGGTTGTTTAGTGCTTTAGCAAGGATAAAAGTTTTCATCGATCGTGCTCGTCACAGAGCAGGATTTCAGGACTATCTACACAGTGTCTAGAGGAAAATTAGCTCAGAAGTTGGATTTCCAGATTATTTATCGACGCATTCGCTGCCGCCAAAGCTTGAAAAGCTCACTTCTAAGTTACAAATAATTGAAAATTTGAGGACTTTACCATAAACTGCTTCTCCATAAACTTAATCATAATAATCAACAGATTTCTTCATTAATTCGATCGATAAATAAATGTTTGAATGACATGTTTCTGGCTTACTAACTGTCAAGTCTTATGCACCATACATATATTCCGGTATAATCTGAAAAAATATTTTTGACTGAATGTCTAAATATGAACTGATTTATACATTATTGATTTTCAAAATCGTACAAAACCAATTTGTTCCACCAAGCATCAACAAGAAAGCACGTTCCGGTTACTTAGACCCGACTGTCGTCGGAACGGCCCACTTTTTCTCTCAGCGGCCCTGCCACACTGAGATGTATTGCAATGTTTCCGAAGGATATCTTCAGTAATTTATAATATAAGTAAATTAAAACAAAAAGAAACGATAACTTCGGGTGCACCAAATCTATTATACCCTTTACAAATACAAAAGATCCCATTCCAAACTTTATTTTGATCAATCAGCTCGATCGATCGATTGTAAGGCAGCTATATGCTATAGTACCGTGATCTGAATTCTTCGAAGATCGCACTGTTGCCTTGGACAATAATCCATGCTAAATTCGTCTTGTCAAATACGAAAGTTTTCCACACAAGCACTTGATTCCAATCGTTCAGTTTGCGTGGCAGCTATATGCTATAGCGGTCCGATATAGGCGTTACCGACAAATGAGCAACTTCTTGGGAATAAAATGCGTGTTACAAACTTCGCGGCAAACCTAATATACCCTGTTCAAAGTACAATATAAAAACAGAAAATACCGTAATTAGAATTTCGATTAATTTATTCATTGAAATGCCTTGTATATATGTATTTTTCACATGCATAAGTAGATATTTATTTATTTTTGTTTTTTATTTAATACACATATATATTTTTATACGCAACTAGTTGTAATTGCATTAAAATTTTACGTTCACATTCCAGTTGTAGAAAAAAAGTCAACAATTCGCCTAACGTTTTACCAACTTTCAACAAAATAATAATATGCGAAAATTATTAAGATAAATATTACACTTCCAATAATACTTCCAGTGTTGCATTATTTAAATAATTACGTAATAGTGAAACACCGCTTATACAAGCACCTACTAAGCGCTGACGAAAAGGTATCACATCAAACATTAAATAGAGTTTATAAATCTTGCTATATCGCCTTAAGTCCATTCATTCAAACATAACCTATTTCGCTATAAACAATGCCTGAATTCCAATTAATTATATTTAAGTTAGAGTAAATTAATTCGACGATTTCGATTTTGGCGAGTTCTCTACTTTATTTTCACGCACCATTGTCAGCAGTTGTAGCATCATGAGCGCTTGCACCTTATCCAGCGGGTCCATGAAGCCGCGCTGCAGCCACTTTGGGATGGTAGTGCGCGCATGCGCGAAACCGAGCTTATTCAATATGTAATCAATGCCATACGGCTCAATGGATTTGCCAGCCCATGAAAGCAGCCGCACAGTCGGTTCCAGATGCCAAGTCTGGCATTCAAAGTGCCGCCAGTCGCGCACAAATGACTCCAAATCTATAGATTTGCCATTTATGCCGCGGCCATTTAGCGTTGCGGGCGTTGTCGTGCCAGAGTTACTGCCAGTAGGTGACGTCAAACTAGCGGCTGCAGCTGCGGCGCCTGATGTTGATGGTGTTGGCGACGCAAGTGTGCTGCCATCCTTCTTTTCCACATTAAAAGCTGAAGCTATATTCGTTTTGCTGTTGCTGTTGGCATTCAAGCTGCTGCTGCTCTTATCCAATGTAGTGCTCGAAGCGTTAATAGATGTATTGCTGATCGTAACAGCATTCGTAGAGGAATTATTGCTCGCGGAAGACGAAGATGCCTTATTGGAATCTTTGAGTATTTCGTCGGTTACATAGGGTTTCAATTGACTTTTCAGGTTCTGTGAAAGATTTGGCGAGGCAGCACGTACAGACTGTCCGCCGGTCTGCTAATAAAATAAAATATATATGATAAGAAATTCGGAATGTAATGCTAAATCTATCTTAGCCTACCACTCTCTCCTTCTCCTTAACGTACGATGTTATCAAGTCATGCAGGAAGAAGAATGCATCGGCATCGACAGTCACGAAAATATGGTCATCAAATTCGGTTATGAAACTGCAGAGCACCTCTGGTTTAGTTTCTGTGGGAGGAGATTAATATGAATTGTGATTTGCGCGCATATTTGTTTGTTATCTTCATTTACCTGTCGGTTCCGGTGTGGATGCGCCTTGTCTGTGTTCAGTCTTGAAATTAAGTTGTAAGCTGGGCAACGCAAATATCACCTCGCGATTGTGATTGTGCTCCTGCGTCTTTGAAGTGCTGCTTGTGCTGGCGCCTGCGGCACGCATACGTTCAATGGAGTTGGAAGCAATCTCACGATCACGTTCCAATATCGGAAAATGATCCACACCTGACACATGAAAATATAGAATTGAAAATGTCTTTTACAAGGCATTTTAAGGATTTCGCAATGACTCACAATCAATTTCACTGTTAGCAAATGCGTAGTGGAACCACTCGTTGAGCGTTTTGAACTGCGGCGGGAAGATGATGTTACGTGAAATTCTGCTGACAATTGCCATAGAGTGATTTTGCTGTTGCACCTCAGTTGTCTGTCCCAAGCAAGATGTGAGCGTCTGCGTTACGAAGACATCATGTGTGTCATGTGCCTGATGCGCTTCTGTGGCGAAATTGATGGAGGGCGATTTTAAACTAAACAATGCCCATGACTTCGACTTGAAGTTTAAACCATGGAAGCAGGCTAATGAGATGTTGTTGCCATGCAACTCCACCGTGCCGCCGAGCACATTGCCGTTGCGCGGTAGACGTGTCACCAAAGTGGGTACCACGAGACCGATTGCCTGTTCAAGCGGCTTTTGCCAATGCCGATGATGGCGTGCATCTGTGTTGCTAATGTCAGACGCATTAGCGGCGGCGGTATCGACGGTACCATTGGTTGTAGCCTTCTTTTTGTCCCGGTTCTGGCGGCGTTTCATGCTAGCGTTCCGCTCGTGCAGACGCGGTTCGAGACTTGAAAATACACGTTTCGACGACTTGAATTGTTGAGTGAAGAATTCTTCCAGCTTATAATACATCTTTAACAAGTCAGCAGTGGTCGATTGCGAAATCATTATTTGCAGCTAAGGGAGAAAGGAAACATGATCAATTTACGATTTAAATGAAACAAGTTGTAGAAGTACCTGATCCCATGACAAGTCGCCATGTATAAAGATTATAGCACGCGGCTTGGTGGTGTGACCGCCCACAGTTATCATGCTGCCGCCGTAGTCCGTGGTGGACAATGCATTTATAGACGTCTTCCATTCGTCCTTCATCGCTGCAGAAAACGAACTGATACGCATCATTAATACCGATGTGCCCATATAGTCGAGACGTAGCTCCAAAGCCATAAAACTCAAACGTATGGTATGGTAAGGTTCCACACCGGATTCTTCCTTAATATGGAAACGCGTATTGATTTTATTCACTTCAAAGCTACCACCGACTATGCCGCCTTTCGCGTCCAGCGAAGAGCCACCTAGATATATGCCAATGTACATATTTTTGTAGCCAGTACTGCCAATAGAGAGCCTGCCATCCGACTGGAAGTCTTTAGTTAGCCACACCACATTACCCATCACGTTGCCCATATTCATTTGCACATTCAATTTGGTGAAATTCACCGCAAATAGTACGAGCGTTTCCCATGCGGTTATCTGGTTCTTCTCCGAAGGAGGTGTGCTTGACGATTCCGCGCTGGAGGACTTACCTAATGTGCGTAACTTGCGTACGGCACCCGAGTGTGGTGCCTGCTGCGATGGTGATGATTGTGAGTCGAAGTCCAAACGCATTTTATCCTTGCCGTAAAATGGCTCTGCTGGTGACTTCGTACACTCGTAACCGGGCGTTTTGCAAGCTTCTTTGGGTGTAGATGGTGTCCCAGTGGGTGTGGCAGGCTCTGTGCCGGCCATATGTTGCATGCTCAAATCGCCGAGGAATAGTCGCCGTACTATGCGCCGACGGTACCATGCCTTTGGAAAAGCCAGAATTTCGGTTAGGCGGCGCATATCATACTTAAAGGAAGCGCTTCCGATATCAACAATAGTAGAAAACCTTATGACTGCGCGCGACTGATCCACAGAACGTTTGCTTATCACAGCGGGCTCGACATAAATCTTGCGGCAACGTGTCAATTGGAACTTCACAAATTCCACATTTATGCTCAACGAATCCTTCCGCTCGCTATCCGAGAGTGGTGAGAACTGCGCCTCTTTGACATTGGTCTTTTTGCCACCGTAAGGATGGAAGATGTAGACATTGAAATCCGCCAGACAACCGGTAACACTGTAAAGAAGTGGAAATAATCACTTTAGACAGAGTAGTTAGACGGAAGGCTTACCTTAAGCCACCTGTCGGCTTTTTGTCCTTTTCCGCTGTGGATTTATCTAAAGTGTGTTCCTGTTGACCTGGTGGCTCCTCATCTCCCGAGCGTTTGGAACTGAACACAATATCCAAACTGGGTAACTGCAACATGCATTCCACACGCGACACGGGCAAGCAGGAGAAACGGAAGGTGGATGGTTGCATGTGAAAGTATACAATAACATCTACGGGGAACGACGCATATGTGACATAATTCGTGGGCAGTATATCCAAGTTAACGGGATTTGCTGAAGGTGTTTGGGCGCCACTTAGATCCGGCGTCTTTGTTGGTATAGGCTCCAAAGTCTGCTCAAGGAATTCCAAAATGTGTGGCGATATAATTGTCTCCTCCGGTATGCTTTGCAGCGTCATCCATGCAAACAATGAAGCTCTTTTGTTGCCCATACGGCGAGCCGTTGAATGATGACTATCGTTGCTCATGCTGCGTGTATTCTCCGTAAAATCCGTTACTGTGCGGGACTGATAGTGCAATTTGACATCCAAGCCGGGAATGTGGAAAATTGTGAGATCGGATAGCATTGCATTGCTCGATGTGTTGTAACGCAATTTGCTCTTATCACGTTGTCGCCGCGATGGCGTCGGGCTGCCCCAGTCATTGCCTAAACTGCGCTCACGTTTATGGGTCTTTCCAGTGTTCGAGCCACTTAACTGCACGCGATCTTCGGTAGTTTCTTTGGTGTGCAGTACACACTTGCCCGAATTGACAAGCACCTTAATGTCAAGCTCGAAATCGATATTGGGTTCTTGCTGTTTCTGTTGGTAGCCATGCTTTTTACGCATTTCCACTGAAGTGCCATCAATATCCATTTCATTTGGCGTCGATTCGCCGTGACCTTCCTGTGTGCGCCAATCAATATCTTCACTGTCCGTGTCAGCATTGGGCAACGAGGTCTGACGCATCGATTCGGAGAAGGTCACACGATTAGCCGGACATGTTTTCAACGAAGCGCTACGCGAGTGACCAGAGACCGGCGTACTCTGCAAACTGGATATCTCATCATTCGAAGCTATCGGATCTAAGCGACGACCCGTATATGGACCGGGCATAAGAGTGTCTTCAGTAGGTTCCCGATTCGTTGAAGCCCCTATGAACGAATATGAACGGCTAGAAGTTTTCATCGGTCGTCGCAGGGATGGACGTTTCCATTTTTGGATCATATCACGACGGAAATATTTGTAACAAATCGCCTGTAATTCTTGCAGGCGACGTTCCTCATGCGCAACCGTATTATGCGAGGCACCCAACGTTCGCAAGTCATTTATAATTTTCAGTTGCTCCGCCATCTCTTTTTCCATCATGAATGAACGCTTCTTCGAATCGATGGTCGGATCGAACACGAACGATGGCAGATTATCAAATTCACGTCGGCGCACATAGGTATCACGGCAGCTGTGATCGCCCTCGTCACTATCCGGTGATTCCATATTGGTTTCTTCCTCTTCAAAACCAGTCAACATAGTTAGTGTGTGACCAAGTGAGGAAAGTTGCTTGCCAATATTTATATCGAGATGTATGTCAACACCTTCCATTTGCCATTTCACATTGAGCAACCACTTTGCATTTTCCATTTTCTTGGCGGCAG